TGATTAATCACAAAAACAATATGTAATTATATATGTGTTTTCTGATGGTCTTAAGCGACCCCTGTGAAAGGGTCATTCGACCCCCAAAGGGGTCGTGACCCACAGGTTGAGAACCGCTGGCTTAGAGGCTGGAGACTTGTTGGCTTAGCCACTGAAAACCACCCTGAGGGTGTGAGATTCAGTGTGTGGGGGTGGGGGAGCACTGTAGGGGGACGCCGAGTCATCTTGAGTTTTGTAGCTCAGCTCTCAGACCCTCAAGAAGGGAAACCGGCAGTTTGGTGTCCTCAGTCCAGACAGTGAAAAACCATCTGATGACAGTGGCAAAGTCTACTCTCTGGGAAAAGATATTTCTAGAATTTTCTTTCCTAAAGTTTGGTGTGCCTCTCAGCATCTCACCAGTGAAGGATGAGGCACTAAAAGCAAGAGGCTGCTTCCCCTCTCCCTTCGGGCACTGCACGTAGTAAAACTCCCACTGTAGGCTATCTTTTGGGGAGCGAGGCTCCCTCTTAGCTGCTGGGGGCCCTTGGGGTGGGAGGAGGAAATGGAAAGTGCCAGCACCACTAAGCCAAAAGAGGAGAGAGAGAGAGAGAGAGAGAGCCAGCCAGCCAGCCAGCCAAGAGCATAAGCACCTGGTACTTTGCATAAGCACTTGGTACTTTGCATAAGCTCGTTAGAGCCTGAAGGGAAAAACAAGTCTGCTGGTGGCTGTGTTTGGACAAAAGGAAGAGTGGATGCAGAAATGGAAGAAATTAGAATCCTAAATAATTTTTTTCCACAGGAGGACCTTCGCTGCTGGACTCTCACCACTAAGACTGTAAAACTGGAGACCGCCGGCATTCTGGTGTCATGAAGTACTGTGTAAGCTAATGGCTCTGTTCTTATTTTTCTTTCAGATCCAGTTTCCATCAGGGATCTCTCTTGTCACCAAAATAGAACAATAAAAAAAAAAATTCTGTTTCTTGACTGTGTTCTACCCAAGACACAACAGCTGGACTTGGTAGGGAGGTAAGCAGATTGGGGGGCAGGGGTTGGGGGGAGGACGGGGGAGGGTTGGTGACTTTCTGAGTCCTAGGTAAACGAGGGTGGGATCCTGCTGTTCCTGTTGGGGCCACAGACCCAAGTGGAGGCAATTTTCTCCACTCACAGAACAAATCATTTCAGATTCTCCATTTTAAAAACAGGAGTTATACTAGTTAATTCAATACCCCTAATATAACTAGTCAACTCTACTTCCGTCCAGTGGTTAGTGGGAACAGGAGGAATGCGCTGGCCCCTTTCCAGGCTCGCACCTGAAGGAGAGAGGCCCTGTGCCTGGGAACACTGGGACATGGCTTCATTCAGCTTCACCTGTGAGGGGGGCGCAGGGGCAGGGCCTGAAGCCTGTGATCCGTCCTGGTGACTTCACTGAACTCAGCAGGAGCCTGGCTCCTGAGCAGCTGAGGCAGGGGTCTTAGTTCAAGGTGATCCCAGGAACACCAGTAGGGGAGAGGCTGTGAGACAAGAGGAGGTGCTTAGTCTGCTGGGGCAACTCTGGGAAACAACACACCTCAGAGAAATTCCAGCCCAAGGGGATGGCTTACATACCCATCCTGTCAGTCATCCATTAAGGGCTGTGGGGGGGAGGGCGGGGCGATTAATTTCCCTGAACTTTTGGCGGCTCTAGAGAGGAAGACCCCAGGCACAGAAATGCAGATGGTGGGTGTTAGAGATCCAGAATGCCTAAAGCAGCAGTAAAGGCCAGGGGATGTGAAAGAGCATGTGTGTGTTTGGGGGGAGAGGGGGCTCGGGGACAGCCCTGAACTCCAGAAGGGAGTGCACAGAGCCATGCGCATGTGACCTGCTGCGCCTCTGACAGCTATTCAGGCTAAAACCAAGACAGCCCTTGTGGAGGCAGGAGCAGCACAGGTGTGACTGGCAGGTGGGCCAGGCCAGGTACCAAGAACCCAGAGCCCACCCACCACCTTCCAATCCCAGGATTTCCTTTCCTAACAGGCACTTGGGAGAGGGTACCCCCAGAGTGACAGGAACCCTTCTCGGATGCCAGCCTCCCAAAGGAAAGTGCTGACTTCGGGTGGAGTGGGGTCATGTTTGGGTCCTGTCTGCAGGTCAGGGTGGAAGGGCCCCATGGTCGCTGCTTCTGATCAGCCTGGCTCTTCTGAAGATACTTAGCTCCTTTTTCTGGCAAATTAATTAGGTCCCCTTTTATTGTAAATGTTGGACAGTCTAACCCAAACTGGTCTGAGCAAAACAAGAACATACTGCCTCCTATAAAAGTCAAGAAAGAATTCTGGTTCAGTTGTGGCTTGTTCCAGGGGCTCAGGCCATGGCCCAGAACCATGTCTCTCTCTGCTTTTGCAGACTCAGTTCCATGCTCAGGCAGGCTCCTTCTACAGGAGGCCAGGTGGCTGCAGCAGCAACAGTCCCACACTCGGAAGGTCAAGTCTGGCAGGGAAGGCAGCTTGTCTCCCAGCAGTAAAGGGCCTACCATCGGGCTCTGAGTAGGTCCTGTGTCCCTCCTGGAACCCATGATCTGCTCAGGGGAATGCAGTGCTCTGATCAGCTTTGGACTTGAAGGTCCAGCCCATTGAAGGTATGAGGGCTAAGAGTAGGGAAAAGACAAACACAGTAATTTTTTGATAACCTGTTACCAAAAGAAATGGGAGTGGATGGTAGGCAGCTATAAACAGCAGACATCTACTCCAGATGGGTTTGGGCCCGTGACCAGGGCCCTGATGCTATCCTCCACCTCTCCCCACTCCCCTCCACCCCGACCCCCCTCCCCCCCCTCCCCCCCCCCCCCAGAGGGGATGCCT